CGCAGCCAAACCGTTCCCTGCGACACCACAAACACAAAACATGAAAGGGGGGGGGGAGGGTTAAGGGAAGAGGCGGGGGGGGGGGGGGGGGGGGGCTAAGTGGGACAAGCTAATATTTGTATCATTCACCATAAGATGGTAACTGTGTTTAAAGAGCCTGTATATAAACTCCTATGTTGGAAGGCAGACCCTCCAAACTGTGGTTACCCAAAGCCTTAATGTATTTATTTATGAAAACTTCACATTTTTTTAGGTTAAACGTGGATAAAGTACTCATCTGCCTCTGGTCATGTATCATTTTCTGAGAGGGGGGGATGTGGCTCAGTGGGTACAGTACTTGCCTAGCACACATGAAGCTTTGGGTTTGATATCAGTACCACATAAAATGGGTGTGGTGGTACAGGCCTGTAATCTCAGCACTTGGAGGGTAGAGGCATGAGGATCATAAGTTCAAGGGCATCCTTGGCAACATAGTTGAGGGCCAGTCTGGACTACATGAGACTTTTTCTCAAACAGATGACCCTTTCTTAAAACAAAAATTTTGTTGAGTTCATTATTCACAACCTGAATGAGTCCAACAAACACATACTGAAAGAAAATTGTGGATTTTCTAGCATTAAATGAATTAGAAAATAGGTTTATGGCTCTGTTTAGAATGAACAGTCATTTCATTGGTATTAGACCATATTTACAGCAAGATCTCTGATTATGTCTTGGAATACGCTAGGTTCCTTACTTTTTTAGCACAGAGACTGCTCACCAGTGCCTCCTGCACATGAGAGGGAAAGTACAATTCAGCAATTAGGACTGCTGTGTGACTGTTTCCTGGGGAGACACCAACGTCTGCTCACCCCAGACAGGGTACCAAGGACAAATCCATGTAAGGATTCCACAGAAGTCCAGCTTGGCAAACCAGTAAGTTTATTGGGGTTCCTTATAGGAGCATGGGTGACCCCTAAACAGCCACATCATCAGTCTCCAGCATGACTGTAGATGGAGCCCCTCCCCCTCAGTGAACCATCCACAATATACTCTGTCATCGCTGGAGACCATGTGCAGCTGGGGCAGAATTCTCTACAGCTGGGAAGTGTAGGGGGTGGCTAGATCTTAGGTGGGGATCTAATGACCCTCTCCATACCCTCCTGTGAAGGAATGGCAACAACCCAATCTTGAGGGTGGCTTTTGGGTACTCATAGTTTCCACAATTACCATGAAAATGGTGGTGTGCTCAGAGGACAGCATTTGTGACTTACACAAGTACAAGTTAACCTGTCCTGTGCACCTTACAGTAAGGAACTAAGATGCAGGCAGACAAATGACCTGGCTTAGCATCTCTTGCAAGTTACAGGGAAGGGAGCCAATCAGTAGCCATCAGCTTGTGACAGAACTGTTCAACCAGGACAAGAAATCAAAAGCAGAGTCTACTCACTCGTTGACCCCTGCTTAATCTGAGCTAAACTAAAGATCAGCTATCCTCAGCCCAGCTACAATGTCACTTGCAGAGCTTTGGTAAGAGCTCCAGCACCAGTCCCTAGCCCCTCAAACCAGGATTTTATTAGTAAGGGATGCCTCCTACTGCGGGAGAGAAATCAAGCCCACTTGCAGATGGGATGTGTGGGTCAGTAGGGGCATATACACCCCTGTATTTTAAAAGGCCTGGTGTTATCTATAACCACCTTTGTCCCCCAAATCACCTTAAACTGCTTTATAAAAATTCACATAGCAGGGCTGGAGAGATGGCTCAGTGGTTAAGAACACCGGTTGTTCTTGCAGAACACCTGGGTTCAAATCTCAGCACCCACATGGCAGCTAACAACTGTCCATAACTCCAGTCCCAGGGGATCCAACAGCTGCTTCTGACCTACACAGGCATTGCACAACATGGGTGCACTTACCTACATGCAGGCAATACACCCATACACTAAAAATAAAAATTAACAATCTCTTTCCTGGGAGCCCTCTGGGTCTAGTCCTGCCCTCAAATCCCTCAGCTTCCCTGGGCTGCAGAGCCGCCAGCCCCTTTCCTGGACACTGGGGCTCACTTCGACCCCGGGGCCACCACTGCTTCCTGATCCCTTGCATCCAGACAGACCCAGTTCCTTCTTGCAGTCCCCAGGAGCCCTCTGGGCCTGGCCCCGCCCTCACCTCCCTCTGCTGCCCTAGCTGCACAACCCTCCAGCCTCTTTCCTGGATACCAGGGCTGACTTCTCAGCTTCTTCATCATTTGCATCCAGACCAACCCAGTTTCTTCCTGCAGTTCCCAGGAGCCCTTGGGGGTCTCTTCCTGCCCCCATCTCCCTTTGCATCTCTGGTTGGCATGGCCACCAGCTGCCCTAGACAAGCATCTTTCCTGGGCCCTGCTCCCAGGCCAGTCCAATCCCCAAATTCCTGAAGGAATTTTTCCTGGAGGGATCCAGACCTTAGGAGAAACCCTGAGGACATCTGATCCTCATCTGACTTGGGCCTCTGTGGGAACTCCTGAAGACAAAAGCAATCTGGCCACTCCAATATAAAATCAAAAGAGAGAACTGGAAGCTTAGACGAACCAGCTTTTCATGCCCCAAAAGTAAAACACAAAGACACATAAAGTTTACAAAAAACAGACCTAAACTTGAAGGCGTGGGTCTCACACAAGAATCAGAAACTACAGAAGAATCACATGTCAAAATCACAGAGAAAAAATAACACAAAAAACCACAATAACATATCCTCACCAAATGCCAAAAGTCCTCTAGAGGAGTACAATGAGAACCCCCTAGAGATAGTGCAGGACATGGAACTCAAAAGAACAATTATAAACATGATAAAAGAATTCAGTGAATTTAAAGAACACACAGATCAAAGAACTGAAGGAAGATGGATAAACTTCTGAATGAATTCAGGAAAGAGTTAAAAATATTGTAGAATACGCAGGCTGAAATGAAGAAGGAAGTGAAACACTCAGTAAGCCAATTACAAAGGACAGGAGAAAGCCTCACCAACAGGATGAATGAAATGGAAAATAGAATTAAAAGAATATCAAAACTGGAAGATAAAGTGGATGAATTAGACCACTCAAGCAAAGATTATGAAAATTTTTTAAAAACACAAGAATGGAATATGCAGGAATTGTGTGGACACCATAAAAAGACCAAACTTACGAATCATAGGCATACAGGAAGGAGAAGAATCCCAAGATAATGGCATGGACCAGATCTTCAACAAAATCGTAGAATGAAATTTCCCAATATTAAAGACATGCCCATACAAATACAAGAAGCATATAGAACACAAAACGACCAGAAAAGAAATGCTCCATGCCACATCATAGTAAAAACACTAAACATACAGAATAAAGAGACAATACTGAAAGCTGGAAAAGAGAAGCAACAAGTCACATATAAAGGAAAACCCATCAGGATTACAGCTGACTTTTCAGTGCAAACTATGAAAGCCAGAAGAGCCTGGACCAAAGTATTCACAGTTTTAAATGACCACAGATGCTGACCCAGATTACTATACCCAGCCAAAATGTCTATTGTAGAAGAAGGGGAAAGAAAAATCTTCTATAACATAAATAGGCTGAAGGAATTCATGTCCACAAAACCAGCCCATCAGTTCTGGAAGCAATACAAAGAGCTGAAGAAAGAAATGACTACCCAAGGGGTTGTGGAAAGAAATACATTGAAGGTATAACTGTAGAAAAGTATAGCTATATCAAGAATGTAAACAGAAATTAAAATGCCAGGATTCAATGCTCATCTTTCATTAATAACTTTAAATATTAACGGACTGAACTCCTCAGTCAAAAGACATAGACTAGATGAATGGATTAAGAAACAAAACCCATCTTTCAGTTGTCTGTAAGAAACTCATCTCACTTTCAAGGACAGACACTATCTTAAGGTGAAAGGATGGAAAAAAATATACCAAGCAAATGGAACTAAGAAAAAAGCAGGCGTTGCAATTCTAGTATCTGACAAAATAGACTTTAAAGTAAAACTAATCAGAAGAGACAAAGAGGGCCACTTCATTCTGATCAAAGGAACAATAAACCAAGAAGATATTACAATCATGAACATATATTCACCAAACTCTGATGCACCCAACTTCATAAAAACAATACTACAGGACTTTAAGACCTAGATTAATCCCAGCTCATTAATAGTAGGGGACTTCAATACCCCACTGTCTCCATAAGATAGGTCAACAGGGCAGAGAGTTAACAGAGAAATATCTGAACTAAACAATACCATACATCAAATGGACTTAACAGATATCTACCAAGTATTCCACCTAAGCACCAAAGGACATACTTTCTACTCAGTACCCCATGGACCCTTCTCCAAAATCAACCATATATTGGGGCTCAGTTAACCAAAAGAAAGAGCACCTCCAAATCACAAACTCCAGAGATGAAAGGGGAAACATCACAACAAGACACCAGAAAGATATAGAACATTATAAGGGAATACTTTAAAAACCTATATGCTACTAAATTTGAAAA